TGGGGTTTGTTTTGCGCGTGCAAGGTAATGGGGGGGGGGGCATTGTACAGTTATTGATGCGACTCCGGTGCGCTGAGAATGGGTGACCGCGGCGTAGGGCTGCACACCTGCTCGTTAACTTGGCGAATTTCTTTTGGTTGCTTTCAAAAGAAAAGGGCGAAAAGATGATGCTTTGTTTTATTTTATTTTTTTTTCTTTACTTTCCTCCGGGCGATACAACAGCCTTGTTTTGAGGGCCTGTTGAAGGTGAACTAGTGAAGGACTCTTTCTCTTGACCCGCCAAGGCAATAGGGAAACCTTCTCAAGGAACAAAGGATGGTACGACACTTTGGAACCTGGGTGATGGTCTTGACTTGCTTTGCGGTTGAGCTTGCAACTGTGGTCGTAGCTGAAAAGGCCGGAATTGCTTTGTCTCCGTCGTATAATGCGGAACGCGTGCATGCGGTGACGTGCTGTGACGTGGTAACGAGACAATGGCCGCTACTACGTGGTTGGGACCGTCGTTGTGCTGCTTCTTTTGAAGATAATGACGCCTCAGTTGAGGTTCGGCTTCACCGTTTTTGGGACGCACCAGCGCAACTAGACACAACAAGTAGTGAACCTTTATGCAGTCCTAGGGAACGCTCTCTCAGTGATGAGTTTCTCCTCTATTTTTTAAAGGAACGACTTTGTGTGGACCTCCCAGTGACGCATACAGAGTTGGTACAAAGCATGTACAGCGTTTTTGTTGTGGATAATCCGCTTAATGAGGATGATTTGATCGCAATAATGGAAGAGGCGTGTAGTCGAATCCAGCAGCAGGGGGTCACTTTGTGGCGACAATCTCTGCAGGCTCGCACTGTGCATGGAGCGCAGGAAACTATTTGCCGGCAACGCTGCTTTGTGAAGCGATCTCTTTTTGACGGCGACGCTTATGACCTCTAGGCGTTCACAGTTCACCTTTGTCGAGATTCCCTCTTCTGAGGAGGGTTGATCGTGGTCACTCCGGTGCGGGGTGAGGAAAAGTCTTGAAACATCCATCGGGAGACATGAGTGGGCGCGTTCGCTGGGCCCACGCATCCTGTATGTACATTTTTTTAGTTTAGTTTAGTTTAGTTTTATTTTGTTTTTTTTTGTTCTGCCGCCGCCGCAAACGTGGCGATTGCCTCGCCGTGAAGTCGTCGACGATGCATCCGCGTACTTCCCTTTTCGTGTCACACCTCGTTCGCTGCTGGTCAGGCTTTAGTTGTTCCTTCGCTGGCTCCCTGTGGCTTGACGCCGTCCAGTGCCCAATCGCGCCCCTCCATCTCCCGCTGCCGAACTCTTGCGCTCAGC